GCGACCGTGGAACGGGGGCGCGGCGGGCGCAGGTGGCGTCGGAGGCCGTGGTCAGGATCGGGGATATCGAGGATGTGGATGATGGAGGTGTGGAGGCGGTGATCAACCGGGTCACGGAGTCACAACCCAAACCTCAGCCTAAACCTGAGCTCAAACCTCAGCCTAAACCACAGCCCAAGCTGCCAAAAGGTGAGCAGCTGTACCCTGCCTCTTGTTACAAAAAAGGCAAAGGTAGTCCTTCTTTTGAGGCCGTAGGGCAAGCCTAGAAATTGTACTTGGCCAAAAGTTTTACCCAAATTTTCAACTACAGTAACTCTTTAAACTAACTAAAATTTGGGTCCAGTACCTGTGTTGGAAATTACAGTAAACTTGTTACATTTTAATCACTTCCAACACAGATGAATTTCCGAGCTAAGAACAGCACCTAGCTGCATGGTTGTCTCATGGCTGTGTAGGTTGACCTAGCTGTGTCATTACAGGGCTGTGCTAATGGCAGGACAGAACCCTGTTCTAACAGGGATGACCTTGCCTGACCTTGGGATTGTCCTGGTGGGGGGTCTGACCTACTTATAGCAGAGGGGGGTGTTTACCGGCACCTGTACAGCAAGGGGTGCTGTTACAGCTAACAGTTAGACTAACTGTGTGTAATCATGAGGAAAGCACAGTTATTATGGATCCAGTCACAGGACTGTACAATCAGGAGAAACCATCAGAATGTCAAACAACCCAACAAACTTCAAGTCTTCAGCTCGGCTGCCTTCGTCTTATACATCTGTAACTATTTGGCACTGGGAATTTAGCTCCAGTACTTCTAGAAAGTCTGACTTAAATGTACAAGTTAGACTGAAAAGGTAGACAGGATGTCCTGCACTCAGGTGTAAAATTGTGGAAACTGCAGTGACTGTCCCAGATTTGGTGCACGTGTTGGGAGGTCTGGACTGGTACAATTTACCTGTGTGATGATGCAAGTAGAGAAATTGTAGTGTTTAAACTTTAGAAACAGGCTTGAGTTGGACTTGCTGAAGACTGTATTTTAGTAAGTCTAATGGAAGACAGACCCTGTAATCACCAAGTTAGCCTAAAAGTAGCCTCCACCTTTTACGGGGTTAGGCTAGTAGAATTTGGCAAAAAAAAAGGGTACAACTCCACTGTTAGGATTTCATTCAATTCGGAGATGTGCCAACAAATTTCTTTCACTGTGCATCTTGAAGTGCTAAGCATGCCCGTAACGTGAAAGTAACTTTAAGTCCAACCAAAGTATACAACAATTTTATGATAAAACTCTGCATGTTGTACAGAGTCTGTAACTTGCATGTTGTGGTGTTTGTGTTGGGTAAAAATGCACTCGGGTGAACTTTCCTTGTTTTGTATTTGTTTACGTAACGGTTGCTATAAAACTTTTCTGTTTTCGATGTATTTACCTTTTCCTTTTTCCTGCCAAGTCTAGGAAACTACACTTGGAATGATACACTCCGTAAGCACCTCCTTTTTCTTTCCTCACCTCAACGTTTAACTGGTTTGCTTCTTTTCTATTCCTTAACTTCAATTCTTATTTCCCCGTGTTACTTTTCAAGCCTTGTTACCAATTTGTCCTAAATCTTTTTTAAGTATTCAAATTGTCTTCATAGTTTAAAAACATCTAAAACCCATGTGAATCCCACATTAAACCTAATATGTGAAACCCAAAGTAAAACTCAATGTAAAGTAACAATGAAACCCAGGTAACCCCATGTAGAACCCACATGCCTGGAAACAGGCCTGTAAAGTACATGTCATGCAGGTCATGGGAAGGAAGCAGAATGCAAGCCGTGTGAATTAACTAATGCTAACAATCGATTTTGGTTAAGGTAAGTTAATAATGTAAAAACCTAACATTAAAAATTTCTTGATTTAATTTGTTATGTAGGCATGATTAACAGATCATAATATGAACAGCCCTATCTGTCTGTTTCACCCAGCAGCAAAAGTTTCTGAACAGGTTCCCAGCTTACAGCTCATGAATAGCTGACAATGCAAATCCCTGCATGTTATCTATTTACATGTATTATGTACAGATGTAGATCTGAAATAACTCCCCTTTTGATGCATAATTTAAACAAGTTTCAAACACATTTATTTCTTCTGTAAAAATCATGACTAAATCTATATTGACTAATCTCTCCCCCAGCCAAACCTCGGCACTGTGCGGATATCCAGCGCGGCGGGAAGTCCACCAGCGGAGTTTACCGGATCTACCTGCCGGACCACGAAGACGCGCCCGTCCCCGTCTGGTGTGACATGGACACCGACCCCGGCGGCTGGACGGTCATACAGAAGCGCGCCAACGGGACCGTCAACTTCTACCGCAACTGGGCGGCGTACAGGGCCGGGTTTGGGGACCCACGGGGGGACTTCTGGCTCGGGCTGGAGAACATGCACCGCCTCACGGGGCGGGGGGGCTACAAACTTCAGGTCAGTATGGAGGACTGGAACGGCATCGTGGCTTACGCAGAGTACAACAGCTTCAAAATAGAGGGGGAGGAGAGCAAGTACCGGCTACGCCTGGGGAAATATCACGGGAACTCCGGGGACGCCATGACCTGGCACAACAACATGGCCTTCACTACCAAGGACAGCGACAACGACCCGTTCATTGGGAACTGTGCGGGGTACCAGCGAGGCGGCTGGTGGTACAACGCCTGCGCGCACTCCAACCTGAACGGGATCTACTACCCCGGCGGGTACTACAGCAGCCGGTATCAGGACGCTGTTTACTGGGCAGAGTGGCGAGGGGGAAGCTACTCACTAAAAACTGTCATGATGAAGGTTAGGCCCACTGGAAACCAGGCTTTAACATAGCAAATATAGCATAACTATAGCACAGCTACAGCACACATACATGTACTACAGCACAGCTACAGCATAGTTACAGCACAGCTACAGCACACATACATGTACTACAGCACACCTACAGCACATAACTACAGCAGCCGGTATTAGGACGCTGTGTACTGGGCAGAGTGGCGAGGGGGGAGTTACTCGCTAAAAACTGTCATGATGAAGGTTAGGCCAACTGGAAACCAGGCTTTAACATAGCAAATATAGCATAACACAGCAGAACCAGGCTTTAACATAGCACACATAGCATAACTATAGCACAGCTACAGCACACACACATGTACTACAGCACACCTACAGCACATAACTACAGCAGCCGGTATTAGGACGCTGTGTACTGGGCAGAGTGGCGAGGGGAGTTACTCGCTAAAAACTGTCATGATGAAGGTTAGGCCCACTGGAAACCAGGCTTTAACATAGCACAACTATAGCACAGCAGAACCAGGCTTTAACATAGCACAACTATAGCACAGGCTTTCACATAGCACAGCATAACATAGCTACAGCATAGATACAGCACAACTACAGCACAACTAGAAACTGTCATGATGAAAGTACGGCCCACTGGAAACCAGGCTTTAACTAGCACAGCAGCAGAACAACATATAGCAAATGTAGTCCAGCTACAACATAGAACCATGCTTTCACATAGGACAGCAGAACTAGACATTAAATATAGCAAATATGGCATAACTTAACAGCACAACAGGCACCCAGGCTTTAACATTGCAGAACAGCCCAGCAGAACAATCACATCGCAAATGTAGTGCAACTACAGCACAGCTGCTACATAGTAACTTGAGGCTTTAACAATATTAGCAAACATAGCACAGCTACAAAATAGAAACAGACTTTCAAATAGCACAGCAGAACAGCAAACATGGCAAAGCTACATGTACAACAAGACTTGAACAGCTCCAGCACAGACCCAGGTACACAGACATGAGGAAGCATGTTCTCCAGTCCTACAGTGGATGTCAGCATTTATCACAACCATGTAATGAGATTACTGGATATGATACATACACAGCTGTAAGCTTCTGATTCTTACATTACAGACAGCTTGTATCTATCCGGCTTCCTGGGTCCTCATTTGGTCTGGGGAAAATTATTGTGGAAGGACAATTATGTAACAAACGATCATGTATGTAACAGACTCGCAACATTTCATGTATGCAACAAACTTGCCACATTTCATGTGAAAGGAGCTTCTAAAGTTTCCATAGCAACCTACCACTGGTCATGTGATCAGTTGCCATAGCATCCTAGTTTCCAAAGCAACCTACAGTTTCCATAGAAACCTACAGTTTCCATAGCAACCTACAGTTTTCATAGCTACCCACTGGTCATGTCAGTTTCCATAGCAACAGTTTCCATAGCAACCTACCCACTGGTCATGCCGGTTTCCATGGTAATATGATCATTAGTTTTCATATATAGGAAGTTATTAGACCTGCCAGTTTGCACATATCCACATGTACGTGTAAGTTGAGGAAGAAACTTGCCATATTTTGTTATTTTGTAAATATTTTTGATGTTGAGATGTGACATTGTGATGACTGTTGTCATAATCCATAATGATATGATAAATGCACCTACATGATATAGATATCAGCATTGTGTTGTTTACAGAAGAAAGGGGCAAAGTAGGATGTTTTTTGTTATTCATGTTGTACATTAAGGTAAAATCATGATGATGAATTTGTTAAAAACAAGACCTGAAGGATTTGATGTGATTTTTACATACTATTATTCCATTTTTTCATTTGTCCCTTGTTTTATAAGCCTGTAGAAGTGTTATATAAGCCAGAGCTTGTTGCATGGTGAAGTTTCCAATTGTAGACTGTAGGCTTATGTAATGTGTAATGGGGAGGTTTTCCATGATCGTAGACTGTTCTAGTATAGGCTTGTGATGTATATTGGTGCTACTGTCTCCTGTAAGGTGCTGATGTGGTAGTCATGGTAACATGTTAGTATAGCAAATATCTCTTCCTAAATATCATGAAATAAAGACTGAGTAGAAAGTTGCACAGTGAGACTGGCTCTGTCATTGTCACAACTTTGTCATGAGTTAGCAGTTTACATGTCCTGAATCTTATAAATCATTATTCACCTTTAATCCTCTTCCAACCATTTCATAAGTGGACTCACAAAGACAGGAACAAATTCTGCTGAAACTTAAATCTCCATGCAGATTTTTGGTGGCTACAAGACAGTATCCAATTATTTGGTCACAAAAGTTTGGCTGGAAAAAAGACACCAGTGCAAACGAAAGGCCTACTAAAAATACCTGAAAACACATCAGATTCTGAAGTTACGTCAAAGCCAGAAGCTCTGCTTGGAAAGAATGCTGAAAGTCCATTAACACAGGAAGTCACTGGACTTTTACTCACAACACACACAACACTGGGCTGTGGACATCAACTGTCTGCAGCCTTTACTACATGTAGCTAATGATGCAGCAAACAACAGTGGGAGCTTGTTTAAAGTTAAAACTTTTGATCCAACACAAAGAAATTCTCTCACCTACATGTAGAGCTTTTGACCAGTCACTCTGGTCTTCCTCAGTAGGGGAGAGAAAATTTTTGTGTTGGATCAAAAGTTTTAACTTTCAACATGTGACTACCGACACAGATGAACTTTCATGATAACACTGTGAGCTGTATGCAGCTTGAACCAAACTCTGTTTGGGGAAAACCAACAGCCGTAAGCTTAATGGTGCAACAGGAGAAACGCAGCAGGACCGACAGTTTGTTTTTCTCCTGTCGACACAACTTCAAGTCCACAAACAAGAACCTGACAGCTTCACAGAAACATCACAAGTTGGGTACAATTACATGCTCACGAGCTGGTCTATATTTCCTGACTGAACTCCCAGAGAAGTTCCCAATATTCAGAATCTGATCTTTATTCGTGACACCAAAAAGCAAACCTTACAGCAGGGATGAGACTCCCTGAATTGCAGAAAGTTTGCGTACAAAATTATAGATCACAACGGACAAAGTAAAGACAGGCAATATATTATACAATCCCTCATATACAACATCATTAATGTACCAGCAAACCTTTATATATACAGGGCTATGGCCTTATAGGCTATACTCTGCAAAGTCTATTAATGGTACATGACTAGTAGTGACAGTAACCTAAGACTTCCCAAGTACGTTCTAAGAACCCCCCCCCCCCGCCCAAGAAAAGGCCATCCTAATCCTGGAGTTTGTTTGACCTTGATGACCCCCAAGGTTGTGTCCACACCATAAAAATGGCGTCCAGTTTACCCTGACAAGGGCGTGTGAAGGTCAAACCAGCCAGCTGTGGTGTTAATGACCTTCCTGTTAATGACCTTCCTGTTAATGACCTTCCTGTTAATGACCTTCCTGTTAATGACCTTCCTGTTAATGACCTTCCTGTTAATGACCTTCCTGTTAATGACCTTCCTGTTAATGACCTTCCTGTTAACGACCTGGCTTTTAACAACCTTGCTAATAGCAGAGGCAATCAGAAGAGGGCAGACATAAACATCAGCAAGACAACTGAAAAACACTCTCTTGCCAGGATTGGCTACCTCTTAGTACTCAGCAAAAATCAAATGGTTGGAAGCTTAGAACCTTATAGCTCACACTGTAACTTCACTCAGTAAAAACTTCCCGTCCTATAAACACATTACCACACTGTGTACAGATCCCGAATGTAATGTGAACATAGAACCACATGTAGGATGTTCTATTGCATATATATAAATACTACCATAATGATATATTTTTCACTTGTGCTGTAGGTGCACTTAGCAATTCAGAGTATCAGTAAGAACTCAAATACTGGTCAGGTCCAAGTTACCCAAAAATGGAGTACACGGGTATTTGTTTGTTGGTTGGTTTGTTTGTACTCACCCAGGTAAGGGATGCATGGCAGCCGGATGTTTGTTTGTTCGTTTGTTTGTTTGTTGTACTCACCCAGGTAAGGGATGCAGGGCAGCCGGATGTTTGTTTGTTTGTTTGTTTGTTTGTTTGTACTCACCCAGGTAAGGGATGCAGGGCAGCCGGATGTCCTCCATGTAGTCTCTGAGTCTTTGTCTGTTCTCGTCTTCTGTTAGAACCTCAGCTAACCTGTCAAAAACTGCCTTGTCTCTTCTGGATAGGAGCTGTAGCAACACAACAACACAGGGGGGGGTCAGTACGGGGGGTCAGTACAGGGGGGGTACTGCACAGGGGGGTAACACTTGGGGGGTGAACCTCGGCTAACCTGTCAAAAACTGCCTTGTCTCTTCTGGACAGGAGCTGTAAGGACACAGAGGGGGGTAGAACTACCCTATAATAATATGCCTAACTGTGTGCTATAGATGTGGCACCTGCTCCCTGCATGTGTGCCTAACTCCATAACTATCTGCCTAACTGTCTGCCAAACTCAGTAAGTATCTGCCTAACTCAGTAACTATCTGCCTAACTTCATAACTATCTGCCTGTCTGCCTAACTCAGTAACTATGTGCCTAACTCAGCAACTGTCTGCTGAATACTTACTGACCTAACTGTGTGATTAGAAGCGCCCCCTAGCAGACTGAGTACTTACTGCCTAACTGTGTGATTAGAAGCGCCCCCTAGCAGACTGAGTACTTACTGCCTAACTGTGTGATTAGAAGCGCCCCCTAGCAGGCTGAGTACTTACTGCCTAACTGTGTGATAAGAAGCGCCCCATAGCAGGCTGAGTACTTACTGCCTAACTGTGTGATTAGAAGCGCCCCTAGCAGGCTGAGTACTTACTGCTAACTGTGTGATTAG